TTCACCAAACAGTGTATTTTTCCCAGAGCTGCTATAATTCCAACAGCATTCCTGCTTCCAAGAATACCCCTGCTTGCTTTTCACTGTGTTCAGCTTCTCTAGAATCCCACTTCCTTTAATCTTGGTAAAACTTTCTACTGAAAACCGGCAGGGAGTGCTGTGCCTGCACATGGGCACAATAAGCCCTGGCTTCAGCAATGGTCAGCCCCACTTCTAAGTACCTCCTCCAGCTCTCCAGCCAGCTCAGAAAGCACACCTTGATTGGCCACAGGACTAAAGAAACCTCTGAGGATCATTCTGGCTGACTAGATCTCTCCATCTGCCCACTGCCTCCCCCAGGAGATGCACACCATCTTCCACCCACTCAACATTCACCATCACCGGGCACCAAGGCGACATCAGGGCTTCCGTTGCAGACCCTGCCTTCTAGAACTGCCCCTCTGGGCTCTACTTTGACTCAAGGTTTCTAATTTCAGATCTTTATTGAAAGTCTTACTGTCTTGTGTGTCTCTGCCTCTAGATTCCCTGCTCTCATTTTCAGCTTAATTCCATGCTAGCATTGACTGTTGTGGGGCCTCATAAGGTCAAGTAGGGATGGAAATAGCAGCTCTGGCCACCCCATTCATCATACCTCAGATATCCCAGAGACAATAAGTTCTAATGACTCAGAAATAAACAGAGGCAAGAACAAGGGATGGAAGGAAAATCAAGAGTCAACCTTCACTGAATCAAGAGAACTGAGCAAATCACCAAATGTTTGTTAAGCACCCACAGAAAATTAAGTACATAGCATGCCAGGCCCTGGAGGGACTTGGCAGAAACAGTACAAGACTTGGATCCTACGCTGGGCCCAGCAAGAGCTTCTGCAGTAATTCTGGCAAACCACGGAGTGACAAGGACCTAGAATAAGATGCACTGGAGTCCAAGCACTGGTCGTTTACTTGACATAATTCACACCATTAAGTCGTAAGACTAACGATGGAGTTAATCTAGATAAACTCTTCATACATTGAAAATATCGAAAGTCGAAAATGCATTTAATACAACAAACCTACTGAATGTCATGAATGTCATAGATTAGCCTAGAACACAACATCCAAGGTTTTCTCTTCTGATGCAACACATGAGACATAACCAGAGCAAAAGACAAAACAGTGTGTAATTATAAGTGCTTCTTTGGCACAGAAATGAGTCAAAAAACAAACTCATCACTTCTCCTTCCTGACTTTCCTATTTCTATAAAAAAACTCCCTTTGCCCCCTCCTTCTGGCGCCCCCATCATTGACCCCTCTCCTCCTGCCTCATCCATTTCTCAGTACATAGCCCCTTCTTCTCAATGTCTTTTTAAATCTCTCCCTTCATATCTTATCCCTGTCCCCATCCCACCTCCCTCACACCTGTTTCCAGAAGGTTGGCTCCAATCCATCCTATATAAAACCCCAGTAGCAATTCATTTGGTATAGTTCACACCATTAAGCCATAAGACTTACGATGGGGTTACATCCAGTAACTCTTCATAAGTTGAAAATATCAAAAGTCGAAAATGCATTTAACACACACAATCTACCATACAGCTTAGCCTAGAACACAACATCCAAAAGACACTGGCAACACAGTACACTGTGGACTACCAGCTGTTTACGCTTGTGCTCAAGTGGCTGATAGGGCGCTGTGCTTGCTGGCGCTGCCCAGCATCAGGAGAGAGTATCCTACTGCATACTGCTAGTCTGGGAAAAGATCAAAATTCAAAATTTAAAGTACGGTTTCTACTGAATGCTTACTGCTTTCCCACAATCATAACGTCTAAAAACTGTGTCGAACCATGGTTAAGGGAGGGACATCTGTAGTCCCTAGAGATACCATCCCATTCCCCCTGTCATCTCCGCTCTCCCTCAAAAACAGGGCTGTACCTCTCCTATTTCAAAATATAACTTCTAGATCTACTAACCCCAGCTTAGGTCACTTAAACTACTCCAATGTCCCCATTAATATCTGTAAATCGAACCAATTCCAGCGTGGTTATATCTGGTTGGATGGCTCTGGGCAAATGGTTTGATTAGAGTCAGGGTGTCCCCTTTTTGTGAAATTGTGACAATAATATCCGCTTCGCTAGGAGACTTGATAAATTAATGTCTTTTGAGCACTCTGAGCTTCCTGGAGAACAGCTCCCCACATCCAGACGGCTTTGTGACCTGCCTGCAACGGAGGATTTTGCACAGGTAACCTAAGTTCAAACACCTGAAAGGGAGTTTCTTATTAAGAAAGGTCAGGCAACTGGAGGAAACAGCCTTCACCTCCGAGAACCTGCATCGCTCTGTGCCTTATCGCCACGTCCGATTTCTGTCTTCTCTTAGAAGCTTCCTCTTGCCCATAGGAAAGTTAACTGACTTACCCATTCAGCAGACAAGGTTAACCCGCATTTCCTCACTACCAACCTGAATTAGCAATTACAGCAACAGGCCGCTGAACTACGGAATCAGGCCGGGCTCCCCCGCTTTGCCCAGAGGTTACCGACAAATGGCTCAAGACGCTCCGCGCGCGCGGCGCAGGGGCGCACAGAGCGCTGCTCTTTATCTTTGGAATAGTCTCACTTCGAACATTCTGCGTGCGCGGAGCGGTCACTTCTCTTCGAATACACAGTCACAGTTCCGAGGCTGGGCGCGCTCAGCAGCAGCGGCCGCTCCCGGAGTCTCAGCCCCAGTCCGGAGCCTTTCCCTCCGTCGGGGACTGAACCGCTCGCAGCCCCACCACGACCTCCCCAAAGCCCGGTGCTTGTCAGCCGAAGCACCTGGGTGGCTGTCACTTTCCCGGAGCCCCGAGGGCCGGGCCGGGACCCGAGCTCACGCCGTCGCGCGTAGGAGCGGGAGGAGGCGCCGCAGCACGGGGAGCGGGCACCGGGCGGGGGCCAGGAGCCCAGCTGGGGAAGGG